CCGTCTTGGGCGACTCCTGCGCCGTCCTGGGGCGCTCTTGGGCCGTCTTGGGACGCCTTTGGGGGCGTCTTGGGCCGTCTTGGCCCCGGCTTAAGTGTCTCTTGGGCCGTCCTGGGGCTCTCTTGGGGGCCTCTTGGGCCGTCTTGGAGCGTCGGAAAGCAAAAAAAGCAAGAACGCGAAAAACATCGAAAGAACCAATGACAAATCAGCGTTTGTGGCCTCTTGGGGTTCTCTTGGGAGGCCTCTTGGAAGCCGCTTGGGGCGTGTTGGTTGCCTGTGGGCTCGTCTGGAGGCCATGCTGGCGCGTGTTGGAGGCTCGCTGGCCTTTTAGGCAGTCGTCAGGCCATGTCGGGGCCCTCCTGGGGCTGTCTTGAGCGGCTCCGGGGTTGTCTTGGGGCTCACTTGGGCCATCTTGGGACGCCTTTGGGGGCCTCTTGGGCTGTCTTGGGGCCGGCTCAGGGGACTCTGGGGCCGTCCTGGGGCTGTCTTGGGTGCCTCTTGGGCCGTCTGGCAGCGATGGAAAACAGAAAAACCGAGAAGGCAAAACACATCGAAAAAAAACAATGCAAAATCAACGTTTGCGGCCTCTTGGGGCTCCTTGGGAGGCCTCTTGGAGGCCGCTTGGGGCGTGTTGGTGGCTTCTGGCCTCGTTTGGAGGCCATGCTGGCGCGTGTTGGAGGTCCGCTGGGCTCGCTTAGGCAGTCTTCAGGCCATGGCGGAGCCCTCCTGGGCTGTCTTGGGCGGCTCCTGGGCCGTCCTGGGGGCCTTTTGGGCCGTCTCGGGACGCCTTTGGGGGCTTCTTGGGCCGTCTTGGGGCCGGCTTAGGGGCCTCTTGGGCCGTCCTGGGGCTCTCTTGGGGGCCTCTTGGGCCGTCTTGGAGCGTCGGAAAGCAGGAAAAGCGAGAAGACAAAGCACATAGGAAAAAACAATGAAAAAAACAAAGTTTTTTGCCTCTTGGGGCTCTCTTGGGAGGCGTCTTGGAGGCCGCTTGGGGCGTGTTGGTGGCCGCTGGGCTCGTCTGGAAGCCATGCTGGCGCGTGTTGGAGCGCTCGCGGGCTGTCTTGGCTGGGCTGGAGCCCGCCCTGGCGGTCTCTGGAACCGAACGGGAACCTTTCCGAGCGGCCCCGGGGGCCCTGCACCCCCATGCGCCCCCGAGGTCCTTGGGCTCGGCCGGGGGACCTCGTCCCCCGGGACCCTGCACCCCCATGCGCCCCCGAGGTCCTTGGGCTCGGCCGGGGGACCTCGTCCCCCGGGATATATATATATATATATATATATATATATATATATATATATCGGAGGTTGGGGGATGAGTCCGACGTGAAACGGAGACCCCCCCTACCGGGAAATCGATTTCGGTTTCGGGTTCGTGTCATGCGTGCCGTGCGTGCGTGCGAGGCGAAGCTGCGTGGGCGGGCGAGGGGAAATCCTCCTGTGGCTGGGCCGCGGCCAGACCAACTGTTTCTCCTCCGGCGGCCGCCGGTGGCCCGCGGTGTCCCGCCGGTGTCCCGCTGGTGTCCCGAAATCCTCCTGTGGCTGGGCCGCGGCTGGACCAAATGATGCTCCTCCCGTCAAACAGTGGCCCGCGGTGTCCCGCTGGTGTCCGGCCGGTGAGGTGAGGTGAGGTTCGCGCGATTGATAAGCGCACGCGGGGACAGCGCTTCACGACAATGTCGAGTGCGCTTCGCCAACATCGCCACATCACATCACGCTCACGTGCACAATCACACTACTCACTAGGCTCCGCCCCACAGACATCGTCAGAACAACAATCACTACTTTTGCCCATTGCTGCCCCCCCCAAACCTCCTTATCACCCGCAGGGTCGTCGTATAGGTATATATTTTTATAGACAGGAGAGTTACATGAGAATTCACTGGCTGGAAGCATTCACTTGGGCGTCACCGTCTTGCACTCGCCTTGGTGGCCGATTCTCTGCAACAAGCGCATCTCCTCTCCGAGTCGTCCAGACAGTGGGATGTGAAGAAAAGAGAAAGGGAGAGAGAGAGAGAGAGAGAGAGAGGAAGAAACAAAATAAACAAAAAAGCAGCAACGGAGGGAGGACGAGGGGGAGGAGGTGACGACGCTTGTTGCCCAGGGCCCACGACAACATCGTCCTCCACAGCATCCGACGTCGACCGCGACAACCCGAATCCGACCAGCCCCGCTCGCCTCTCACGGAGGAACGCGGGACTGCGCGGAGACTCGGGCACGCGGGCCGCTTCGGCTGCGGCGCCTGCGATGACACCAACGCGCGCATGGCCCGCCATCATCCGCCGACGGGCTGCGCCAGACACAACATGGGCGGCCTCGAGGTGGGAATGCACAGAAAGAGCAGACCTTTGATGGTATCCTCGGCGAATTGGCGGGAAGATGGCCGGGTTGATCCCGCAAGTCAGCGTCTGGCCCCGTCGGCTATTCGTAGCAAAGCCCATGCCAACCCGAAGCAACCGATGCAAAATCTGCGACATGGACCGCGAACCCTCGAGCCGCCCAGCAGGCGGGCACGAATGCGCGCAGCTCGCCACGGGAAGCCACTTGGGGCGCCTGATGGATCCTGCAGGGGCCACTGATGGATCCCGAAAGAGCGCAACATTAACTACTACGACTCTTCGGGATTTGGCGATGGAGGCGTCCTTCTCACCACTGTCGTCTCCGAAAATGCAGATGGGAGGCTGCTCGGCACCACTCGCCCAACAGCCAGGGCCTAGGCCATAACCCCCAGTAGTAACCCCAGCGGGTGGGGGTGAGACAGAAACCAGATCCGTAACAAGCAAGCCTCTTAGTCAACAGGCTGGCTCAGCTCATGACTGCACCGTGGCCGCGTCGACCACATCTTCGAAAGAGTAAACCACAATTGGGATTTAAAGTAAGCTGCGGTGGAGCGGTGACTCAGGTGCAAGGCCGCGCCGAGGACGCATGTCGGATCATGCACCAGATGGGAACTCAACTTTCTTGTAAACAGTGGGCCACCGGCACCCGACCGCCACTGATTACGCGACCTCGCACAGACGAAGCCCAACTCGCGGCACCTCATCCAGCAACTGCAACAATGTGCAATCTGAATCCACGCCGGACCCATCTTGAAGGCTCTCTCCATAGGGCTGACTAGCCTGTCGCCAATGCTGTAGCTAGAGCTGGTTCGCGAAAACTTCGAGAAACCTTTAATGAGTCGATCGCCGTCACTCCTGCGCACAAGTCACCATCAAATCGCCATTCGTAACCAGCAAACTAGAGTAGTCATGGCGATGCCCATCTTGTTGCCGATGGCACCGACCACGCCGCCTCAATGAGATGCATGCTGGCCGCGGACATTGGTCCCCGCACATGCTTGGTGCGGCAAGCCACGAGTGCCCGTCTCAACACTGAACCACCGATCGCCGTATACGATGGCACTCGCGCGAAGAGCAAGAATATCGCCCGATGTCGACGGCCGCATGTCTAGACGCCGCGCGAGTACTCAAAATCCCTTATTAATCGACCCCCCCTAAAAAAACGGACACCCCTCCAAATGCGACCTAATATTCCGAACTCCATCTTCGATGGGGCGCCTTAATAAACAAGACCCCCTAAGCTCCAATCCAAAGAAAGCGCTCTAAGTGGGTTAGTAGTAGCAGTGGCAGTAGTAGTTTTTTTTGTTTATTAGTATTATTATTGTTACGATTATATTTATTATTATTAGTAGTAGTAGCAGCAGCAGCAGCAGCAGCAGCAGCAGTAATAGCAGTAGTAGTAGTAGTAGTAGCAGTAGTAGTAGTAGTAGTAGTAACCGTCGTAGTAGTAGTAGTAGTAGTAGTAGTAGTAGTAGTAGTAGTAGTAGTAGTAGTAGTGTTAGTGTTAGTGTTAGTGTTAGTGTTAGTAGTAGTAGTAGTAGTAGTAGTAGTAGTAGTAGTAGTAGTATTAGTAGTAGTAGTCGTAGTCGTAGTAGTAGTAGTAGTAGTAGTAGTAGTAGTAGTAGTAGTAGTAGTAGTAGTAGTAGTAGTAGTACTACTACTAGTAGTAGTAGTAGTAGTAGTAGTAGTCGTCGTCGTCGTCGTCGTCGTCGTCGTCGTCGTCGTCGTCGTCGTCGTCGTCGTAGTAGTAGTAGTAGTAGTAGTAGTAGTAGTAGTAGTAAGAGTAGTAAGAGTAGTAGAAATAGTAGTAGCAACGAAGTCAGTCGGAGTTAAGATATGTGATACGCGACTCAACATAAGACGATCGCAACTTCGGTTCGCACTTTCCCCGGCGATAGCGAGATTGAAATTCGGCCTCGCCGCCCCTTTCCCCCGACCAATTCTGCCGTGGCCAGGGATAATCAACTTTCATGGGTTCGGGGGGGGCGCGCTATATTATCCGGGGCATGTGGTTATATCCCACACTTTACTGTCCCGCCCGCCTGGCCCGACCCGCCCGTTAGGGTTCGCCCGCCCGATCCGATCTACCTCTTTGGGTTCACACGTGCTCTCTCGTGTATGCCCCACGCTTGAATTTCCCGCCCGCACGACCCGATCCGCCCGTTAGTGTCCGCCCGCCCGACCCGACCGACCACCCGTTCATTGGAGTCCGCCCGCCCAACCCGACCGACCACCCGTTCATTGGAGTCCGCCCGCCCAACCCGACCCGCCCGTTGGGGTTCACGCGTGCTCGCTCGTGTATGCCCCACACTTTAGTGTCCCGCCCTCGCGGCGTCGGCGACGGGGACGGGGACGGCGACCGCGACGACGACGGCGACAGCAACGGAGGTTGCGGCGGAGATGGCGACGGCGGGCGCGGCCGGCGAAGAGGTCTCCGGCGAACAGGTTCCCAATACAAGGCCCCGGCGAGCAGGGTCACAGAAAACAGGTTCCCGGCGAACCAGGTCCCAGTCCCAGCAAACCAGGATTCGGCGAACGCGGTCCACGCCTCCCCACCTAGGGGGTGGGCTGCTGGGGCTGAGATACCATGGCCCAGTAGGGATGGGCATAGGTTAGACGACGCTAATCACCCCCTTCATTCTGCCCTAGCGCTCTTCCCGCTCCCTCCTGGAAGCCGATCTTCTTGCAGCCCTGCTCCCACTCGCTGTAGGTGCACCTGGCGGTCGGGTGCCAGAGGACTGCCCAATCGCCCGTGACTCGAACAGGGAAAGAGAAAGGAGGGGCAATTCAGAATCATGGCCTGTCCTCATTCTAGTCCCCCTCCTCGCCTCCTCCTGCTCGTCCTACTACCTACCATCCACCTACTGCTGCAAATCAGCAATCCCCCACCAGCCAATCAGAACTCGCCGCTGCAATGCCAGTACTCTCCGAACCTCTGATGGGGCGCGTTCCGACCAGAGTTTCAAGGAGAATCCAGCCCTGGCGGCGAGGACTCTCCAGGACGAGCAGTTCTGGGGGAATCAACCATGAGGATAAACACAAACTTTTGACTTTTGACGGGGTCCGCGCCAGACCCCCCCTCCCTGGCGCCCGGAGCGCCACAGGGCAGCCCAGCGCCAGTCCCAGGAAAACCGCGCGGAGCGCCGAATACATATATATATATATATATATATATATATACTAGAACCACGCGCGCGCTTCGCGCGCGCTTAGGTTCTGTCGAGTCACAGACCCAGGAATCGTTGCGAGAAGAAATTGGTGACGCGAAGCGTCTTGGGGGCGTCCTTGGACGTCTGGGGTCTCCTGGGGCCTCTTGAGGGGCCTCCTGGGGGCCTCCTGGCGGCCTCTTGGGGCGGAAGGCTCGAGCTTGCGGTTCGTGGTCCCCCTCTGGGCCCCCTCTTGGGCCCGTCTTGGGGCCCTCTTGGGCCATCTTGGGCGCCTCTTGGGCCGTCTTGGGGCCCTCTTGGGCTGTCCTGGGGCCCTCTGGGAAGCTTCTTGGGCCGTCTTGGGGCGGTCTTGGGCGCCTCTTGGGCCGTCCTGTAACGTCGGAAAACCCAAAAGACAACTTTGTTGAACATGTACGTTTTACGAAGGGAATGGGCCAATTTTTGCGTCTAGGGGCCCTCTTGGGACGCATGTTGGAGGCTTCTTGGGGCCTCTTGGGGGCGTCCTTGGACGTCTGGGGTCTCCTGGGGCCTCTTGAGGGGCCTCCTGGGGGCCTCCTGGCGGCCTCTTGGGGCGGAAGGCTCGAGCTTGCGGTTCGTGGTCCCCCTCTGGGCCCCCTCTTGGGCCCGTCTTGGGGCCCTCTTGGGCCATCTTGGGCGCCTCTTGGGCCGTCTTGGGGCCCTCTTGGGCTGTCCTGGGGCCCTCTGGGAAACTTCTTGGGCCGTCTTGGGGCGGTCTTGGGCGCCTCTTGGGCCGTCCTGTAACGTCGGAAAGCCCAAAAGGCGACTTTGTTAAAAATGTACGTTTTACGAAGGGAATGGGCCAATTCTTGCGTCTAGGGGCCCTCTTGGGACGCATGTTGGAGGCTTCTTGGAGCCTCTTGGGGGCGTCCTTGGACGTCTGGGGTCTCCTGGGGCCTCTTGAGGGGCCTCCTGGGGGCCTCCTGGCGGCCTCTTGGGGCGGAAGGCTCGAGCTTGCGGTTCGTGGTCCCCCTCTGGGCCCCCTCTTGGGCCCGTCTTGGGGCCCTCTTGGGCCATCTTGGGCGCCTCTTGGGCCGTCTTGGGGCCCTCTTGGGCTGTCCTGGGGCCCTCTGGAAGCTTCTTGGGCCGTCTTGGGGCGGTCTTGGGCGCCTCTTGGGCCGTCCTGTAACGTCGGAAAGCCCAAAAGACAACTTTGTTGAAAATGTACGTTTTACGAAGGGAATGGGCCAATTTTTGCGTCTAGGGGCCCTCTTGGGACGCATGTTGGAGGCTTCTTGGGGCCTCTTGGGGGCGTCCTTGGACGTCTGGAGGCCATCTTCAGCATCTCGGAGCCCTCTTGGAGGCCTCTTGGAAGTTTCTTGGGCCGTCTTGGGCGCTTCTTGGGCCGTCTTGTCTGACTGGGGAGGCCTCCGGCAAGCCCCGACGAGCCTCCGGGCCCCCCGGGGTGCACATTTGTGGTCGAGGTCCCGGCCCCGGGCCCCCGGACCCGGTGCGCCGTTATATGTATATATATATATATATATATATATGTATATACACACATATATAGAGATGTTTTGCCGTTGTTTGTTATTCGAGTCTCGCTTGGTTTACAATAAAAGGACCCCCAATCCGTTGGGAGGCGACCCAAGTTAGGAGGCCGAAAACATTAGGGACATGGGGGTATTTCTGCAGATGTGTCACACCAAACCGACCCGACTTATCATCCTCGATGCACAGACGGAAGGCTCAGTAAGGCCACGTCTTCAACATGACCATGTTACTAGGGCGATGGCTTCTTACATCATCATCATGAATGATCGGTCTCCCCCCCCCGCTTGTGAGCTCATCCCCAGCTGCTCCCGCTCCTGCCTCGCCCGGCGCCACGGAGCGGCAAAAGCCCGCGCGAGCACCCCCCAAGGACGTCGGGGATCTTCTGACCCGGGTCAATCCAGACCCGGGTCAATCAGGCCTACACAATCCTGCAAGATCCTGCACCCAAACCCGGGTCAATGCGAAGGATCTTGCAGGATCCTGCAGGATCCTGCACCCAAACCCGGGTCAATGCGACCCTGGCGCTGCAGGATCCTGCAAGATCCGGCGCTCTGGCTGACCCCCGTCTGCACTGACCCCCGTCTCGAGGCTCCCGAGGACGGGAGCCGCCAGGCGCTCCGGGGGCTCGCGCCGCGCCTGCTCCCAGGGCCTCTGGGGAGCGTGGCGCGGAGCCCAGGCTTCGAACGTGCCCCTGAATTTCTCCAGCCCTCTGGGCGCAAATGGTCTAACGAGACTCCCCTTCCCTCTTCCAAAAAAACCCGTCTTCCCCTACGGGGAGGGGCTTATCACTGTTCCCTATTAATATACACCCCCTCCCCCTGGCGACTGGGAACCAATCCAGGTCCATGCGGGCATGCATCCCCCCACCATCCCTTGCAAAAAACAATGCGAACACACACTCTGCCCCCACCATCCCTGGTAAAAAAACAATATACAACACACTCTGTCTCTAAATTCGGAATGTGCGCAGCGAACCCGATGCGGCCTCCACCCACCATCCCTGTCAAAAAAACAATACAAGAGTAATTACACTTGGCGGCGGCGGCGGCTGCGGCGGGGGCAGCGGCTGCGGCGGCGAGCAGCGCGGTGGCGGTGGCAGCGGCGGACAGCAGCGGCGGCGGCGGCGGCGGCGGCGGATTGGCCCCCAGTAGCTGGGCATCCAAAGACGACTGCTGCATATGCTGCGGCTCGGGCCAGGCTCGGGTGCTACGTATGTGTTGGGAGGGCGGGTGGGAGTGAGCGAGACGGCTTGCGGGCGGGGAGGGAGACTCTTAACCCCTTCCCCTACCCCCTCCCCTGGACTTTTTTCGGGATGCGCGAAGCGTGAAGAAGTTCTCCAGGAGCCCTCTATTGGGCGATTGACACCCTCGGCTTCACGTAAGAGTGACCCTGGGTAAGAGTGACCTCTGGTGCGCGGCTCTTTGGAGGCCGCGGGGGGGGCAAAGACAAGCGCGCAAGACGCCTCTGCCGCCTCGATTTCGGCGATCGGGGGGCCCCAGTGGGCTCGCACCAAAGGTCACTCCGACGAAGGGTCACTCTTACGTGTAGTCGATACCCGTCGGTCGGGATAAGTTAGTAGAAACATGAAGTCGAAAGGCGTTGGAAGTAGACTGGGCTTCCGCCCGGCCCCTTGAGAGGAGGGGGGAGGGGAAACAACTCGAGTTTGAAGTCGGAAGGCGCCTAAAGTAGATTGGGATCTGGGAGTCCAGCAATGCCTACTTTCAACGACCGGCGTGTAAGGATGCAAAGGGCCTCGGAAGGCCGACACGTTGCGGGCGGGGCGCGACCAGCGGCCAAGGATGGGTCGACGGGGAAGGATGCAAGGGCAAGCTTGGAAAATGGCTTATCCCTACTATGCGGGTTGACTGTAGGGCCTCCCCCAGACGACCGGGTGGAGCCCCTGGACAAGGAAGACGAGGCCCCGCGCCGGCAGGCAAGCAAGGAGGGGCACGCCAGACCCCTGGCTGCAGGAGCGATTAAGGCCGCCGCGCGACGAATCTAATACAGTCAACGAGTATAGTAAGGATGCGCGATAAGGATGCAAGGGCCTTGGACGCCCATTTCGAAGCTTTCCGAGCGGGGCGCGGCCAACGAAAGCGGCGAAGGATGGACCGAGGAGGCAAGGATGCAAGGGTACCCTTGGGAAGGTTGCCCATCCTTACTATACTGGTTGACTGTATCGTTTCACACGCACTGATCTTGAGACGCCTCGAGCCACCCTGGGAAGGAACAGGGAGTCTCTGGGGGCGTCTTGGATGCCCTAGGGGCCGGCCCGACAGGGTAACCAAATCGAATTTCGGATGCTTACATTTTCGAGACGGCCCACGAGGCTCCAAAGATCGCCCCAATACGGCCCCAAAACCTCCAAGAGGGGCCCAAGAAACCCGCAGGAGGTCCCCGAGAGGGGCCCCGAGAGGGGGGGAGCTCGAAAGGGTTGTTGGGGCCCTCCACTCCAAGATGGTCTCGCCCCGAAGGCCACTAAAGAAGGGCCCCGCCTTGGTGCCACACAACGGGCAACGGGGTGATTTAGGGTCCCCACCTTGGGCCAACGTCGCGCGGGGGAGCGTGAGGAGCTGGCCAAGCCCTCCGCGCCCGACGACGCCGAACATTGGGGTCTCCAAATCCTCCTGACTGTCGCCGTTGAACAAGATAATTCCCCTCCTCCCAATATTCCGCATCTTCCTCCACCTCATAAGAACCCTCCTAAGGCACGTACATCATCGATCCTCCCTGGTCCCTTTTCATCATTTGCCTCCCTCCGCCTCCCCCTCCTTTTCCTTCTCATACTCCTCCTGGACTTTGTCCCTGATCATCCTCTCTCCCTGAATTCAAGTTTGCTCTACGGCGTCGGCCGGGCCTGTTGCTGGAATCCGCGTCCAACAACATCCGCCAAGCCTCAGGAGGGAGAGGTCACCGCAGAAGAATTCACCGAAGGGTGGCGGAGGGGGGGCATTCTATATATATATATATGTATATATGATGCTCTCTGATTATACGGTTGTCTACCTAACCTTGGCAGGTTGACCATTCGCGCATCGCCTGAATCATGAGAAACTGGCGTATACACTCTGCGCGGGTGTCTCTTGGCTTCTCTGCCTAAGAATGGAGGAGGAGGGGGATGGGGGGGCGGTATCAATGCTTTCAAGAAGGCTTCAAAAGGAGAGCAGGGAGATATTGAGGGCAGGAGGGAAGAAGGGCGGCGAAGATGACGACTACGACGAGGGCAACAGAAATCGGAGGGCAATTGCGAAGCATCGCCGACTACTACCTTCGACATCTGGTAGCCGAACGATTGTCCGCATTTTCGCGTGCGCGTGCATCTATATGCTTAGCCATCGCGATGTCAACCAATATACTTATGCACAAGGCGCACGTTCTGCACGCACCACACAATGATTCTCAGATGCTCGTCTTCGCAAGGCCAACATCCGACAACGCGTGAGGCGGGCCCTTGAAATGTTGTGTAAGTGTAGATGTACATCTCGAAGCAAGGGAGCCGAGCGGTATTGCACTGTTCCTGGGTGCGTGCCTGAAATACGGTTCCACGGTTCTGATTGCTGTTGTATTTTACTGGTGTCATCTTCACCCCTGTGACTCGCTCCGCGACCCATCCCCCGCGACCCACCCACGACCTGAAAACGACCCACCCGCGACCCAATCCACGCCCGCGACCCAAGCTCACGACACACCCACACTCAATTAAAACAACCCGCTGCCTGCACAGGGGTGGCTGTGTTTTTCGTTATACACACATCGGCGCCTATAGCGGGCTTCTTCACGTTGGCTTTCGAGCCTGACGACCCGCCGCGCCCCTCTCTGCGACCAACCCCTTCTTGCTTTGCGTACAGATCGGTGGCTGCAGTGGACTGATTGCGGTTCGGAAAAAATTGGCGCCTGAGTCGGGCTTTTTTTCAAGAGCCCTCCACGAGCCCCCCCGACAGACATCTCAACAGACCCGAATGCGAATACAGAAAGCCTCTGACCCACACCTTGACGTGGGCGATCGGCCACTTTTCTTTACAAGTAAGAAGCAGGTCCAAACTGCACATCAAGTGAACATGCAACTCTCAAACATATGATACGTAGCAACCCGCAAATGCGGATGTCGCGGGCCGGGCCGCGGGTTGGTCGCGGGTGGGTCGCCTGCGGGTCGTGGGTGGGTCGCTTGCGGGTCGTGCGTGGGTCGCGGGGTTTGTCGCGAGTTGGTCGCGGGTGGGTCGCAACGTCGGTCGCGGGCGGGTCGCGGGCGGGTCGCGGGCCGAGTCGCGGGCGGGTCGCGGGCCGGGTCCCGGGTGGGACGAGGACAAGAAACACAAACAACAGACAACAAACAACACACACCAACCAACAAACAAACAACAAACACAATGCGACACATCAAACACAACAGCAACAATAACCACAACAACGCCACCAACAACAACACCACCAACACCACCAACAACACCAACAACAACCACAACCGCAACCACACCCACAACCACCACTAAACCAACCACAACAACAACACCACCACCAACAACAACAACAACAGCAACAGCAGCAGCATCAGCAACAATAACAACAACCAATTCAATCAGGTTCGCTCTTGTCTGCCCGCGTGTCATTCATCACGTATATCCCAAACCCTCGGTACCCGCCCTCTTCGTCTTCGATCGCACCCCCTTAGGGGTATATCTTTCTTACCTGCAACATGTTTCTCTTGCAGCCCCTACGGCAGGGGAAGAGAGGACGGATGGAAGGGACAAGGGGGATGGAGGAGGATGGAGCACGAGAGAGAGCAGCAGGAGGGAGGCTTGGAACAGAAAACACGTGGCAAAACCAGACGGGCAGATCAGGCGGGTAGACCCTAACGGGCGGGTCGGGGAGGCGGGCCCAGAGACGGCCAGGTCGAGCAGCCGGATTGCTGAAGCGTGTGTCCTGCATGAATCGCGAGGAAGTCTCGAGCGCTAGCGCGATTCCCAAATCAATCGTGAGGAAATCCACAGCGAGAGCATGATTCGAGAGTGTCGAGGGCGAGGGGCCTGAATAAATTGCGAGGAAGCCCCATGCGAGAGCGCGATTCCTGCATACACTGTAAGGAAGCCCCGCGCCATATCGTGACTTGGGAGTAAATTGAGAGGAACTATCAGGCGGGAGCCGCTGTTGCTGTAAACCGAGGGCCAGGGGCACAGTTTGGTGACATTTAACGTCAATCAGGATGCGAGCCCCGGGATATGCACTTCAATTGAAAAATTCAACGGTTACCAGGTAGGGGGGGATTAGCAATAACTCTCTTCTTGAAGCGGAACTTCAACCACAAAGACGACACTGCACCAAGACACCCGATGCACGGGTACTGAATTCAACGGTTGCCCTTAAAGGACGCCCATTGACCTAGACCCTCGGTGGTCGGCAATCCGGTCCACCCAGCAACCAGCAACCAACTCGCCCCTCAAGCTAGGCTTGCAACCTGCCAACCTTCTAGACCTTGTTCACACGACCCCATGGACGGGCGCTCTCGACGGAAGATGTGCGCGCCGGCGAGGCGCGGAACCTGCTCGGGTCCCTGCGCCATCCCTACAGACTTGGATATTGCTGTACAGGAACCCTTAAAGCCCAACTCAGGCTTCCCTACTCAGCGTGGCCCACTCAAGATTCCCTACTTCGAAGTCCCTGCGAATGCCTTCTTTAACTTCCATGCGCAGGATTCTCCACTGAATATTGCCTACCAAGAATTTCCGACTAAGACCTCACCACTAAAGATTCCCTACTAAGGATAACCTTGGGAAGCAATTAAGGAACCCTCTGGGGTTATCCTTAGCACCGCACCGTAATTAAACAACCATTAGGGGGTTCTCGCCGAACAATATAATTAGCATCGCGCAAATGGAAGGAAAATAACAAATCCCCGCGCCCCAGCTCAGCTGGCATACCAGTTGGAATTGGAATAAGGATTCCCCCGTAGCACTGCCCCATAAGACTCCCTCATGGGACTCCCCCGTAGGACACCCCACAGGACTCCCCCATAGGACTCCCTCATCGAACTCCCCCCCTCCCCCATCGGACTCCCCCCCCCAGAGGACTCCCCCATAGGACTTCCCCACAGCAGGCGCGTCTGCGTTCAGAGCAGTTTCTGAGGATGTCACAGGCCAGGCGCTTGTTTCAGAACCACACAGGGGACCAGATGCGCGAGAATGTCTCAGGCGGTTTGCTTGTTTCGGCGGGCAGACTCGTCTGCGTTCTCAGCAGGTTGCGAGGTGCCAGGGTCTCGCGGGAGAGGGGGGGGCAGGGGGTTCTGAATTGCTTCCTCGGGTTGGGAGTCTCCACTAAGGATGCCCTACTGAGGATTGCCGACTAAGCCTTCCATGTTAACGCTTCCCGACAAAAGAAATCCTTGGCCAGGAATCCTGAATCAGGAGTCCGTAGTGCGACTTCTTTGTAAGAGACCCTTACTACGAATTCTTTGGTGTGATTTCCTTACGTGGTTCCTTACTGATAATTCTTTGGCAACGAATCCTTACTCAGGATTACTACGGAATCCTTACTGAGGATTTCGCACTTTGGATCAACCACTGAGGTTCCATGTATAAAACTTCGTTAGAAAAAGGGATTTCTTAGTCCGGATTTGTTACGCACTATATTAGGATTCACTACCAAGGGTTCCTTACCACGGACTCCTTCGTAAAGATTCGCTACGTACTAAAACCCCAGACACGTTTTTTCCCCAAAGATTCCTTATTCAGGATTCCTCACTGAAGATTCCGTAGTACAATTTCCTTTGAAACAACAACCCCTCATTCACGATCCCTTGCTCAGGACGCGTTACTAAGGTGTCCCAACCAAAAATTCCCGACCAAAGACCGGGGTTCCCGACGAAGGATTCCCGGCTAAGGATTCCCTACTGAGAGTTACTTACTAAGGACTTCTTGTTAAGGACTCGATAGTAAGGATTTGTTGTACCAGGCTGCCTCACGGTGGATTCCATACGAAGGGTTCCTTAGTAAAGATTCCTGAGTAAGGAGGGATTCCATTTCAACGAAACCGTATCACGAAGTCCTTAGACCCCTTACCGAGGACGCCTTTACTAAGCAGCCCGCACTAAACATCCCTTAATGAGGATGCTTTACTCAAGACATTAGACAAACGGAACAACGGGACAAAAAAATGTGTCGGAGTGATGGAGATGTGGGAGTGGTGGAAAGGTGGGAGTGGTGGAGAAGTGGAAGTGGTGAAGGATGGTGGGGTGGGAGGGGCGGACAGGAGGTAGGAGGATAAGCATGAGGATGGTCCTCCTCGTCCTCATCCTGATCATCATCACCACTACCATCCAGTACCATCTCCATCACCATCAGCACCAACATAATCACCATTACCATCATCAACGTCAGCCTCATCATAATCAACCTTGTCACCATCCACATCCCCATCCCCATCAATATGAACACCATCCTGTCATCAACACTCCATCACCATCACCATCATCATCATCATCATCATCATCATCATCATCATCATCATCATCATCATCAGCATCAGCATCAGCATCAGCATCATCACCACCACCACCACCATCATCATCATCATCATCATCATCACCACCATCATCATCATCATCATCATCAGCATCATCATCATCATCATCATCATCATTATCATCCTCATCGCGACCTCCCCCATCAACCTCGACAAACAAAAGTCATAACGCCTTGATGAACTCCAGGGCTCTCTTCGGAACAGGATCCCCCAGGGGGCCCCGTAGGGATCCTTTGGAGTCCGACAGGGATCCATGCGGAATTGCGCACTGATCGTCAAGAATCCATCATGAATCCTTTGGAATTCTGTCATCTCCGGAATCTTGAGAAACCTTTCGAAATGCCTTAGGTCCTCTGACGAATCCTCCTGTGATCCCTCGGGAGACCATTTTGCGAATCCTAAATAATGCCTACGGAATCCTTGGGTAATCATTCAAGAATCCCTCGGGCATCCCTTTTAGGAATCCCTCCGGAATCCTTCACGGATCCCTCAGGGATCCATGAGGCATTGCTTCAGGAATCGGAGGAATCCCTCGCGAATCCTCAAGAATCCTTCAGGAATCCCTCACAGGAACCACTCAGGAATCCCTCAGGAACCCGCCAGGAGCTCTTCTAGAAGTCCCCAAAGATCCTTTAGGAAACCTCAGGGATCTTTCAAAAACCCATGAAGAATCCTCTGGAATCCTTTTTATCGGGCCATCCCACAGGAATACCGTGCGGAATCCAAAGGAATCCTCCGGAATCCATAGGGACCCCCTCAGGACTCCCTCGGAAGTCTTGAGGGATCCTCCAGGCATCCCTCCAGAAATCCTTCGGGAATGCCCCAGGAACCTTCCGAAAAAAACACAAGAATCCCCCAGGAATCCTTTAGGAATAATAGAAAGGAACAGTTATGTTTTAGGAATTCCGAAGGAATCTCTGAACGCATTTAGAAAACCATAAGCGATTCACACGGCGTCCTCCAAGAATCCCCCGGAATCCCTCAGGAATCCTCAGGGTTCTCTCGGGTCTCCCTGGGGATCCCTCTGGAATTCTCTCAGGCATCCCATGAGAAACCGCAGAAATCCTCCAGGAATCCGTCAGGAATCCTTCAGGAATCTCCAGGAATCCACCAAAGATCCCGCAGGAATCCGCCAGGAATCCCTCAGGAATACGCTGGAATCCCCGGGGATCCTTAGGATCCCTCAGGAATCCTTCAGGAATATCTCAGAAATCCCGAAGGAATCCACAGGCATTCCCAACGGATCCAACAACCCCCCAGGGGGGCCGAAGGCTCCCCTGGGGGGGGCTGGTTGCTTTTTTTTTTTGGGGGGGGGGGGCGGGGATCTAGGTCGCGGCAGTCCGCACCTCAGACTCTCACTTCAGCAACCAACAACCCACACTCTCACTTCAGCACCAACTCTCACTTCAGCAACGTCACGGCGTGCCCACAACCAACAACGGCAGTCCGCACCGCAGACTCTCACTTCAGCAACGCGCCCAAGGACAGTGAATGATCGTGCGGCCCCGTCACTCTGACAAACACAATGTTTCTCAAAACCATATAACATGTAAATGCCGCTTTGGCGGCGGCTCGAGACGCACAGTCCAACAAATCCAAGTTGGCCACATAACCTACCCAACACGCGTCTTAAACAAGGGGGTCGACTGGTAGAAGCATGCCCATCACAATCCACATCCCAGCACTGGTGGCGGCAGGGGCCGAAGGCAACCAGATACATGAACTCACTGGAATTAGGCCCATACGTCAACAACGAGGACAGCGACGAGGGAGGCGCCGCTGCCCAGGCTGCACGGGAACGCCCGAAGTAAGGAACAACCCGCCGCCTCCTTCCCATCTTCCGACCCCTCCTCCTTCCCCTCCTCTTCCTCCTCGTCCCTCTCTTTATTATCCGTCTCCTGCTCCTCGTTCTGCGCTCCCTTCTTGCCATACTCCCTCTCCGCAGCTGATCCCCCCTCCTCCACATCCTCCTCCTCCTCTCCTCCTCCTTCTCCTCCTCCTCTTCCTCCTCTTCCTCCTCCTTCTCATCCTCCTCCTCCTCTTCCTCCTCCTCCTCCTACTCCTCCTCCACCCCTCCTCCTCCTCCTCCTACTCCTCCTGCTCATCCCCCACATATCTTCATTCACTATTACCCTCCAATTTCTCTGTTCCCCCCTCTTTTCCTCCTCTCCCTCCTCCTAGCTCCCCCCGCTTCTTCTTCTCCAACCACCGAACCTAGCCACACTCATCTGGAACAGCTCCCCTGCACCGCAAACGACTTCTCCCACCGTCCCGCCTTCACGAACGTTTTGTAGTGCTTGAGGAAGAGCATCTCGGGCGCCCAACCCCGAGGACCGAGCATGCGTGACGGCCCCGCCCGATCCTTGCCGCCCCAACTCCCAATGTTGCTGCTACTCATACGTGCAAGTATCCAACTCATGGGAAAATAAGTTCAACATCGGCACTGGCACACACGTGACCGAAAACATGGCATGATCCCGGATACGTCCATTCAGTCCCGACTGGTCGGGTTCACCCCAGGGTTAACCTCGACGAATCCGGCTCAATGGTCCCTTGACGTGGCTTGATCGCCCTCAGGCGTGTTGACGAATGCCTCCCAAAAACTGCCTCCTCATGCCTCGACATCGCTCGGACATCCATGTCCCGTGCACTTTGGGACTTCGTGCGTTTGTTGTCTCACAAGATGGTCCAAATGCTCCTCGATGGCCCTCGCCGAGACTAAATTCACACGCCCCAGCGATGCTGAGACACCGGGAACAGCGAAACACAGGCCGCGGCGCCCCCCTCCCCTCTCCCCATCCGTTCCTCCTGCTCCCGACCCTCTCCTCCTCCTCCTCGTCCTCCTCCTCCTCCTCCTCCTCCTCCTCCTCCTCCTCCTCCTCCTCCTCCTCCTCCCCCTCCCCCTCCTCCTCCCTCCTCCTCCCTCCTCCTCCTCCTCTCCTCCTCCTCCTCCTCCTCCTCCTCCTCCTCTTATTATTATTGCTTAATAATATTATTATGGTTCGCCTTATTATGCTAATGGTTATTGTTATTATTCTTTGATTCTTCTCATTATATAGATACTAGTCGTTTTCTTGTTATTCTTATTCTTCCTCGTCCTCCACCTCCTCCTTCTCCCCTGCGGCCGCCCAACCCCCCTCCCCGCGATCCTCCGCCACGCCCGGGCCCCGCGAACGCCCGCGCGGGGGCCCCCCCCGCCCCGCGGAAAAGAACAAACGCGACCGCCGCGACCACGGCCGCTCGGCGCCGCGGCCGCCCGGCGCCGGAACGCGCGACTCTCGGCTCTGCGACGGGGCTTTCGGGCGGCGCGTGCCTGCGTTCGATCACGGGGCCCGCAGGCAAAGAAGGGCTTGGGTCGAACGGCAGGGCGGGATGCCCGCCAGCCGCTCTTGGCCCGCCCAGCCAGGCAAACATCTCCTGAGGACTACTGCCCCTCATCATCCACCCCCTCCTCTCTTCCCCTCCTTCCCATCCTCCAACCCCTTCTTTTCCTCCTCCACCTCCTTTTCCTCCCCCTCCCCTCTCCCTCGCCCTCCTGCCCCGTCTCCTTCTCCTCCTCCCCTCCTCCAGCTCCTCCTCCTCTTCCTCCTCCTCCTTCTCCTCCTCCTCCTCCTGGCACCTGGCACCTGATGGCATGATAGATCTCCGATCGTTTCCAACGCCCACCCCCCCCCGCGCCGCCGTTCGGCATGCGAAGGGGGGCATTCATGGAAAACGGCGCGCGCGACCGATGGGGGGCTGGCGGGCGAGCGGGACGAGAAGGAGACGACACGAAGGGGGACCGGAAAGGGAGGCGAACCGAGGGACCGAGCGAGCGAGGGACAAGAGAGACAGGAACGAGGGCCGCGGCCCCGGCGGCGCGCGGACCACTCAGAGTGGACCACCAGAGGAGGGGCGGTGGGCGGGCAGGCTGGGAGGCCCAAGGGGGGGAACCAGCCTGTGGTCCGCCGAAGGGGGTCTGAGAAGCCCACTTTCCCCCAGCGCACGCTGCCCAACCTTCTCCCCTTCCTCCTCTTCCGGCCCCTCCGGGCCGTCCCCGAGTCGCTGCTGGTGCGGTCCGGGGAGTTCGTGATAGCCTCGTGGACGAAAGGACCTGTGAGCACGACGCGGACCAGCATGTCCTGGGCGCCGCAGTCGTGCTCGTCGGCTTCTCACGCATGTGGGTGTCGCTGTTGGTGCTGGGCGCGAAGGGCGCTGCCCGGCATACCGCGCAGCACCTGTGGCGCTCTGAGGCCCGTTGCTGCGAAAGCAGCCTCGTCCTCGCCTCGGCGAGGCGTCCGTCCTGCTGCTCGCGGTCATGCTGCTGGCGATCGTCGTGCCGGTCCCGAGGCTGCTTGTGGATCCCGTCGTGCTGCTCACGGTCGCGTTGCTGGGGCCCGTCGTGCTGCTCATGGTCGCGCCGCTGGGGCCCGTCGTGCAACTCTCGATGATGTTGCTGGGGTCCGTCCTGCTGCCCACGACGGTCGTGTTGCTGGAGTCCATAGTGCTGCTCACGATGGTGTTGAAGGAGTCCGCCATGTTGCTGACGCTCGCGCTTGTGCTGGTGCTGGTGCTGGTGCTGGCGCTCGTGCTCATGCTCGTGCTCGTGCTCGTGCTCGTGCTCGTGCTCGTGCTCGTGCTCGTGCTCGTGCTCGTGCTCGTGCTCCTCCATCTCCTCCTCCTCCTCCTTCTCCTCCTCCCCCTTTTCCTCCTCTTCCTCTTCTTCTTCCTCCTCCTCCTCCTCCTTCTCCTCCTCCTCCTCCTTCGCCTCCTCCTCCTCCTCCTCCTCCTCCTCCTCCTCCTCCTCCTCCTCCCTTTCTCACACTCACCTGGCTGTCCCTCCTGCGCCAGCATGAGGAAATTGAGAGGAAAAAGGGACGTGGGATCATCACAGCCGTCGTGCTACCCAGAGGAACGCAGACTGAGGCAGAAATATGCTTTCCTGGAGACGGCGAGTTTCGAGCACGCGTCGGTTCCACGACCTCGATTGAAGGAGTGGCTGGAAACCAAGAGCCCATCATGAGCCCCAAGTGGTCTATCTTTCAGCCACCCGCCCTCAGGACGTTGGAGAGGAGGAGGAGGAGGCGGAGGAGGAAGAGAAGGAGGCGGAGGACGAGGGGAGGCCAAGGAGGAGGAGGGGGATGAGGGCGAAGGGAGGAGAATCGAGGGAAGCACAGAAGGGGAATGCAGGCGAGGGGGGGGGAGGAGGCAGAGGGGAGGAAGAGGAGGAGGACGAGAGTGGTGAGAAGGACGGGAATGGAATGGAATGGGCCCCCTCGCAGTGCAAATCTCGAGTGAAAATTGCCTCCCCTGCAGGGCAGGAGGAGGCGGTGAGGAGGAGTGCGGGGGGGGGAGGGGTCGGCGCCTTCACCTCCTCCGCCGCCTGCTGGTTCGGCGGCACGTGCAGGAACGGGGGGCACTGGGGGCCGAGCGGGGGTGGCGCTACCGCTCCCCCAGTGGGAGGGGAGGAGCAAACTCGTCCCAACACTGGCCCAATCCCGACCACATCGGTGCCAATCCCGCCCAGCTTTCGCACGAGAAACTAACCAGTTGATGGGGGGCTTCTCATGTCTTCCCACCCCATGAGAGACCTATGAGAAGTGCTTCTTCTCACAGTGGGCATGGATGGGGGGGGGAGGATGGAGGGAAAGGAGGGAAAGGGAGGGAAAAGGAAGGGGGGAAGGAGGTGGAGGGGGGGGGGGGTAGCAAGCTAGGGGGGAGGAGGGGGCACGGGAGACGAAGGCAAGCTTGGTGCGTTCGCCCATCCCTTCCCGCTGGGTGTAATTCAGATATGCCTCCCCAAGATGGTCCAAGAGAGCTCCAAGAGGGGCCCCACAAGGCTTCAAGACGGCCCCAAGAACGCCCAAGAATCGCCCCGGAGCGTCCCAAGAGCGCCCCAATACGCCATTTTTGAACCTCCGACGGGGGGATTTTTTCTTTTACTACCCGTATCTTGAACCATGGGGCCCAAGACAGCTCCAAGACCTCCCAGACCCCCCAAAAAGCCCCAATAGGGCCCCAAGACGGCCTCAAAAGTGCCCCAAGAGGGCCCCAAGAGGACCCCGAGAGGACCCCCCCAACATGGCTCACAACAACACCGCAGCTGGCGTGGGCATCGGTTCTGGATGGGCTGGTGGGGAAATGCGAAGCGTCAGGAGTTGGTGTTTGAAGGTTTGGGTGGTGACGCACAGTGAAAGCACATGCATGTTCAAGTGTTTCCTGCGCGTCGTCCGAGAGTACTCACCAGCTGGCCCTCCAATTCCAGAAGAAAGCGTGCGATCACAATGACGGCGACGACGACGACGACGACAAGGGGAGGCAGTAGCAGGAGAGGGAAAACCGACTCCATCAACAAATTGGCGTGGATGGGGGATGATGGGAGACAGCAACACAGGAACGGGGCAAACAGATGCCTAAGATGGTCAAGGGAGACGCCATGCGTCGTGTCGCCAAGCTCAGCCCCAAGCATCGCGACAGTTTCCAGCCGCTGGGCCAGGAGCGAGTCCCACTCTGACCACGCGGGCAAACAGCCCGTGCCGTAGTGGCGATCCGCCACCGTGCCCCTGCACGGAGCGGGCGTGTCCTCAGCTCCCTTGGTTTTCCCTGGAGCCTAGATCCTCGATCCTGAGGCTTGAAAGGGCCCCGATCACGTAGAAACGATGTTTCGTGGCTGTGTCGCTGTCCTCCTGCGCAGCGTCGCGTTTTGTCGCATGGATTTGGCGGGCCCCACGGGGCGCCAAGACGGGCCATGGGGACCCCAAGAGGCCCCCGAGACGGTCCAAGATGGCCCCGAGACGCCCAACGATCGCTCCAAGACGGCTCAAGAGGCCCTCAGGACGCCTCGAAAAGCTTCCAACAGGCGTCCCAAGAGGGCCCAAATAAATAACAATCATTGATGTTCCATCGTTAACAAGCCGATCAGGCGCCAACCAGCCGAGCAGCCGATCGGGCGCCAGCCAGCCGATCAGCCGATCAGCCGATCAGGCGCCAGCCAGCCTATCAGCCGATCAGCCGATCGGGCGCCAGCCAGCCGATCACGCGATCAGCCGATCAGGCGCCAACCAGCTGATCGGCTGATCGGCTGGTTGGTGCCTGATCTGTTGATCGGCTGGATTAAATAATGACCCCGGGGAGCCAGCGCAATGGAAATATTCCAATCGAATCAACAATACACCTCATGTTCATATTACACAAGAATTCTAAATCAAATCTGGGATTCGGCGCGAAACCACATTCCACGTTCAAGACCCGAGTGACGAAGCCCAACAAATCCGCCGGCCCCCTTGTGGGGCCACCAGGCTGCGAGGAGCGGGATTCACAGTTTCCTGTACCAGTTGTAGCTTGTAGTTTCCAGTGTTACAGTTCTGCTTATTGCTGGTTACTGTAACTAGTTGATTGACCGCGCGAGGGGGGGGGGGCCCAAACCAGATTTTTAGCACCCCCTGGGCGCGTTGTCTGAATTGCTGGGGGGGCTCGAAATCGACACCCCTCACGCAGATCCGCGGGGTCAGGGTCCAAAAACACATGGGATTTGCCACATTTCTGAAATTCGGTGCCACCCCTCACGCAGATCCGCGGGGTCAGGGTCCAAAAACACAGGGGATTTGCCACATTTCTGAAATTCGGTGCCACCCCTCACGCAGATCCGCGGGGTCAGGGTCCAAAAACACATGGGATTTGCCACATTTCTGAAATTCGGTGCCACCCCTCACGCAGATCCGCGGGGTCAGGGTCCAAAAACACAGGGATTTGCCACATTTCTGAAATTCGGTGCCACCCCTCACGCAGATCCGCGGGGTCAGGGTCCAAAAACACATGGGATTTGCCACATTTCTGAAATTCGGTGCCACCCCTCACGCAGATCCGCGGGGTCAGGGTCCAAAAACACAAGGGATTTGCCACATTTCTGAAATTCGGTGCCACCCCTCACGCAGATCCGCGGGGTCAGGGTCCAAAAACACATGGGATTTGCCACATTTCTGAAATTCGGTGCCACCCCTCACGCAGATCCGCGGGGTCAGGGTCCAAAAACACATGGGATTTGCCACATTTCTGAAATTCGGTGCCACCCCTCACGCAGATCCGCGGGGTCAGGGTCCAAAAACACATGGGATTTGCCACATTTCTGAAATTCGGTGCCACCCCTCACGCAGATCCGCGGGGTCAGGGTCCAAAAACACATGGGATTTGCCACATTTCTGAAATTCGGTGCCACCCCTCACGCAGATCCGCGGGGTCAGGGTCCAAAAACACATGGGATTTGCCACATTTCTGAAATTCGGTGCCACCCCTCACGCAGATCCGCGGGGTCAGGGTCCAAAAACACAAGGGATTTGCCACATTTCTGAAATTCGGTGCCACCCTTCACGCACATCCATCGCAAGGCGTGGTAACCCAAACTGCGAGAACTCCCTCGGCCCTTTAATCGCAAGGTGTGGTAACCAAGCCCGTAAACCATACACGTCTTACCAATCGCCAGGTGTGGTAACCCCTCTTGTGATCAGTTGGTTTTGCTGATTGCGAATCGGCTTCGCATGAAGTTTCGATACTGCTTCACGACAGCGCCAAGACCTCATGACTTAGCTGCTCCATGGCCCATTCTCCGAGAGAAGGGGCCGACGGCAGGGGGCGAACCCCTTACGGATCAAAAACGAGAGAACAAACAACAACAACTCCCAACATGATTTGAGATAGATCAGCTTGTGCGCGGGGCCCTCTCGTATAGTATCGCCTCAGGAGACAAATTCGTCGTTGGATCGGCTTCTTATATTGTCGCTTGCTCTGCTATCTTCCGGCTCGTTGCGATCGTCGCTCGATTCGTAATTGACTACCTGGGCAAAGACCTTTTCGTTGCCAATGTCTTTCTTTCACGTCGACGGGGGAACGCGGGACGAAGCGACAGATGTGGGTGCAAACCCTCAAGAAGATGTTTTGTATCCCCCCCTCCCGAAACGTCCGTGACTAGGGGGGAAAGGTGCCGGGCCACCATGGGGGTCACGGTCACGTGGGCGAGCCCCGCACGGGGGGGTCCTGGGCGCCGGACGACGACGACTACGACGAGGACGAGGACAAGGACGAAAAACGAGGACGACAACAACGACAACTAGAACGACAACGACGACGACGACGACAACGACGACGGCCGCAACTGAAGGTCTCCAGAAATCTCCAGAGGCCTCCGGATGTCTCTGGAGGCCTCTGCAGGCGTCTGTAGGCCCTTCGAGGCCCTCGGAGACGATGACGACGAGGAGGAAGAGGACGAAGACGGGGAACACAACGAGAACGACGACGACGACGCCGACGCCGACAACGAGGGCGAGAGTAAGGACGACGAAAAAGACGAGGGCGAGGACGACGAGGAGGACTTCGACGACGACGACGACGATCACGACGACGACGACGACGAGGACGGCCGCCTCTGAAGATCTCCAGAGGTCTCTACAGGATTCGGGAGGTCTCTGGAGGCTTCTGGAGGCCTGGAGACCCTTTGAAGCCAGCGGAGACGACGAGGAAGACGACGACGACGACAACGACGACGAGGACGACGATGAGGGCGACGACGACGAGGACAACGACGACGATGACGACGACGGATGCCGCTGCAGGTCTTCGAACTCTCTGGAGGCCTCTGGAGGCGTCTGCTGGTCTGTCGAAGCCCTCGGAAACGACGAGGACGATGAAAGACGAGGACGAGGAGGGGGACAACGACGAGAACGACGCTGACAACGACGACGCAGGCGACGACGATACTGACGAAGACGAGGGCTAGGACGACCACGACAAGGACGAGGACAACGACGAGGGCGGCGATGACGACGACGAGGACGACGACGGGCGCCAGTGAAGATCTCCAGATTTCTCCACAGGCTTTGGGAGGTCTCTGGACGCCTCTGGAAGCGCCTGGGGGCCCTTCGAAGACCTCGGAAACGACGACGACGATGACGACGACGACGACTACGACTACGACGCCGACGACGATGACGACGACGCGGCTACGGCGACGAAGACGACGACGACGAGAAACTCGACAACGATGACGACGATGCGGTCACCACACCACGACGATGCCGTTGGAGACGACGACGATGATGACGGCGCCGACGCCGACAGGACGACGACAGTGACGACAAGACAAGGCAAGATCCCATAGAGTCCTGAAATCTGCACCACATGTGAAACCAGAACTCTGGGTAGGCTACCACGCAGCCAACTGCAGTAACATAAGCGGCCACGATCTGCGACGACGACGACGACGACGACTGCCGCCCTTGGAGGCGTCTGTAGGCCATCCGATGCCTGTCAACACCACACCATGCCTGTGAGCACGGTGCCATAGCTGTTGGGGTGTCCCCCCCCCCCCCCCTGTACGCTCGCTACCGTGACGTGAGGGGGCGACCCCCCCCGTCACGGACGTTACAG